GAAAAGAACGTAAATAGGAATTCCAACTATATAACAATATCACCTTACATTCACATAGCTCTTTACAGTTAACAAAGCATTTTTACTCTTACTAAAGTGAGTAAAAAATATTCATCTTATTTCTCTTATTTAAGACATAAGTCAATACATTTCTAATTTCTCTTCCCAACTTATTTTCCATCTTATTTTTCTCCCCAACTCTCTGTAATGTACTCAAGACTCAGATAAAGCTTCACAGTGGAGGGGATGTTTGAGTTGCCTCAAAGGATGTAAAATCTATCTTTGAGGAAAGTACACAGCCTGTTAGACTCCTCTCATTTTCTAAATCGGTAATTAAATTACTGGTATCAAATGAAGATAATTTAAAAAAAATTTAATTATGCCATTACCAGTTAGACTCCCTACCCCCGAAACTCTCCCAGTGTCAGGTCCCAAATCTTCCTTCTGCTTCAGAAGTAAAAAAAAGTATGGTTTGCCTTGGGCACATCCAACATCATATCCTTTCAATTACTTTGATTGACTTGATTCTAATCCTAATTAAACCAGTTCCCATTTTGTCCTATCTTGGTGTCTTTGAACCCATTCTCAGCTGAGTCTGTTCCGCACTAAGTGGGTCTGAAAGAATGCCCACCAGCCTAGAAAACAATGGAGAGCTTTGGGAATGACCTTAGCCTTTATAAAATGGTCTTTTTCTTCCCCAGTATGGTTAGCTTTACCAGGGAGTAACAACAACAACAAAAATTTAAATAAAGAAAACACAAAAAATTAAAGTTGTTCATAATCTCACTGCTTTAAAAAAATTTGGATAAAGGGAAAAATTTCTCCCTCCACCAGTCTGATTCCATTCTCCAAAGGAAACTAAACTTGTTACACATTCTTCCCAAATTGTTACCAGGTTTATATAGACATACCTAAGTACACATATGTCCAAAATGCTAGGCATATTGACCTATATCTTGCTTATTTCCTTTCATAGCCATGGACACTTTCCAAGTCAGTACCTATGGATCTAATGAATTACTTTTAGTGGCTTTGGACTATTTCACTGAATGAATATACTATAGTAGATTCAACCATTCTCTTATTGTGATATTTTTGTTGTTGAGAACAATGCTGAGATGCACATCCTTGATTATATAGTTTTATGTATTTCTGGCATTGTTTCTTGTAGGATGAATTTTACACTTGGGTCTAGAACACCAACAGAGTATGAGAAGGCCTCCCCCCAACTTCCAGCATCACCAACATTTTGGGGCTAATCTGCTAGACCAAAACATGCTAATCTCTTTAAGATTATTTTGCATTTCCCAACTACTAGTGAAGTCGAGCATCTTTTCATATGTTTATTGATCATTTGCATTTCCTTCTTGGTGAATCACCTACTGATATCCTGGGCTCATATTATATTGGGCTGTTTTTTTCTAATCAACATGTAGGTGCTTTTTGTATACCTGGGATAAATTCTTTGTCCCTTATATTTGGGACAAGTATTTTCTACCATTCTGTTATTTAGGGTGTGTTTTAATAATTACTGTAGTCAAATATGTTGTTTGCCCTTCCTTGTTTCCAGGCTACCTGTCTTACTTAGAAAGAACTCTAATATATCAATCTCTATATATTTTTTCTCTTTTATAGTCTTATTTTTTAAATTTAAATCTTTAATCTCACCTTTTTTTTCCCGAAGTGAATAAGTCGGGGATCTAGTTTTGTCTTATTCCAAATGAAGAGTCAATTGATCACAGGGATTTTAAAATTACTTAATCAGCAAAAATTTACATAAAGGGGGGTGGGAAGAAAGTCCAGTACTACATTCCTGGGGAACAGCGGACCCCGGGACTGGACTCAGCAGATCTTTAATTTATGATCTGGACAAAACATCCAGAGGTATTCATTTCCTAGTCAGTCATGGGTTAGGCCCTTGTGAATCTGTGTGTGTGTGTGGTTTGTTTTTTTGGTGTAAAGAAAGGATTTAGAGACTGAAATATTCTCACCTCTCAAAAATCTCCTTATTTATCAAGCAAATCCTGTGTATAACTTTATCCTATCAGTTGATCGTTAAATTGAAATGTCCATTTTAGGTGTGTGTCTCCCTCAAACCCCTGGGGGAGCTCCTTGATGCTATTTCTGAACTCATCTCTGTTTCAAACCTACCACATGTCTCAGGACAGAAAAAATGCTTATCGTCCAAAATCTTGGCTTCAGATCCATCTAAAGATTTATTTAGTGTGCACCTACATAGTCTGAGAGTGTTTCAACATTTTAAAGAGGAATTTGCAGGCTTCTCTACAAACTAGGAACCCGCAGTAGCAAGCTTTCTCTACATACAAAGGCTTTTATCTTGCAATTTGCAAATGAAGGTACCAATAAATATTTGTTGAATTTTATCATTGGGCTAACCTTCAGATTCAGACTTGTCAGCAATTACTGGCTTGAATTAAAAGGAGGAGATTGGAGATTGAGGTCCAGAGAAGATAAAGCATTCGCTTAGAGGCATATAGGGAGCTAGTAGCCAGGTCTCATGTCTTTCTGTCTCCTCTTTTTCTGCTACACCTTTTCCCTTGACAAAGCACAAATAGCATGGTGATGGACACAGATCTGGTGAGAGAGGCAACGGTGGGACTTTTAAACATAGCAACTGGGACCATCTTGCCTTACTTTAACACTCATCCTGCCCTTGTGGTAAAATGGTGGGACCAGCAGCTCTGAGTGGCCTCTCTTGGGCTGCTGAAGACGGCTTAAAGATGATTCTGAAGTGGCACACATTTTCCTCCCCCTCTGTTGCTAGTAAACAGAACTATCTTGGAGCCCTGGTGGTGCAGCGGTTAAGAACTCAGAGGCTAACTAAAAAGGTCTGCAGTTCGAACCCACCAGCCGCTCCTTGGAAACCCTATGGAGCAGTTCTACTCTGTCCTATAGGGTCGCTATGAGTCAGAATCGACACGATGGCAATGGATTTGGTTTTGGTGTCTTGGAGGAGCTGGCCACCTTAGAAGGATTCATTCAGTGATCTCTGCCTTAACAAATATCATTGAGTACTTACTGTGCCCTGAGGATTCCATTCTGAGCAAAATACATAAGGACTGTCCTTAAGGAGCTCAGGAGCCTAGTGAGAGAGACAAGTCTGTTTCCCCACAGTCTCACAGGGGAAGCAGACATTAAACAAGTACTCACAGGCATTTATCATTACAAATGGAGGTAAGTGCATTGAAGGAAAATCCGGGATGCTTGGAGAGGATACAGCAGGAGGGCCTGGTTTAGATTAGGGGGTTAGGGAAAAGCAGAAGAGGGGGTGTTAAAGGCTTTTGCAAAGGTGAAGTGTTTTACATATGTGAGGGAAATAATAATAATAAAGGTGCTTGGAAGGGCAGCCCATCCTCTTTCAGGGGCCACTTCCTAGGTCTCTGGGGATCTGCCTCTGTCCCCAGCATTATGGAGGTATCCAGGGCCAGGGCTGGAAAGGCCTTCACAAATGCTAATATTTGAGCATTTTATGGGCTGCCCCCTAGCCCCTTGCATCCTCTTCTTTAACTTGTTTGAATGCTGAGGTGAATAGGGGATGAGTGGCATTTCCAGTTTGGAGGGAAAAGGGGGAGGTGAGGAAGCCTTCTCACCCCAATCCAGGGGCTAGGTCCCCCTCCCTCTAAACAATCCGAAGGGCTGTTTTTCTGGCAAAATCCCACCTCATTGTGTATGCGGATGTGAAGGGGGCTGCTAAGGAGACCAGAGTTTTTCCTGGTAAGTTTTGGGGTGGGGCAATAACCTCCAATCCCCCCCCCCCCAAACAAACACACCTATAAGAAAGCTTGACCCGAATGAAGTGAAGACTTGACAGAGGTGGTGGGATGGGAGACGGGCAAATACTGCTGCACTGGGGGTGGTAACTTCCCAGGAAGAATCTGTCAAGATCTGGCGGTAACAGCAACAGTAACAGCTGACACCTATGGGGGGTTATTGTGTGCTGGGTACTGTTCTAAGCGCTTTCATAACTCATTTTCTCAAAACAACCCTATGAGGTAGGCACCATAACGAACTCCATTTCAAAACTGAGGAAACTGAGGCACAGAGATTAAATAGTGCTAGCAGTTTTACTTTTTTGCAGCTAACTATTTGGAGTTAAGGTTTTTTGTTTCGAGTTTTGGTCTTCAGTGGGTGTTAATAGCAATTCTTCCTACGTGAGCCTTTTCCGCCCCCCATAATTCTGCGGAATGGCGTCCCCAGCTTCCAAAAGGCAAACTTGGGAGCAGCGCGAACGGCTGCCGGGGACATAAGCGCCTTCCCTTCTGAACCCGGCCAGGCCGCTGCCTTCTTCTTAGTGGGGAGGGCTTGTTGACAGTCCTGCGGGGACGGCTGGAGAGCGGCGGGGATCGCCCCACTGCAGCCAGGCGCCGAGGCCTGGCAGCTCAGCTTTCTGCTGGGTCTCCGCGAGGTGTCGCCTTCGGCCGAGGAAACCTCCGCGGCGCCCGTCGTAGCCCACAGTTATTTATTTTCAAACAAGGGGGGCGCCTCTCTCCTTTTAATTTACAGCTAGAAACATCCTGCGGTCTATTCCTAAACGGGCGCGTCTTCTCCCTTCCGTTTTGCACCCTGGGTCTAGCCTCCCCTCGAGATTGCTTTGGCGCAACCCCCTCCGCAAAGCTTTGCTCGACGTTGGCCTTGCGCTCAGTTGCATACAAACGCAGTCAAGGCGGGGCTGGGTTAGGAGCCACGGCTCCCTCCCCCCCGCACACCTTGGGCCCTCCGGAATTTTTTTTTTTTTTTTTTAGTGCCAAGCACTTGCCAGGCCCGAAGGGTGGGTGCTGCATTGCACCGCTCGGCGCGCAGCTAGTTTGCAGAGTGCACCGGGTGCAAGCCCGGGGGTCCAAAAGGGCGGGAGGAGCACACCCCGGGCTTCCTAGCTTTGCAGCCTTCTCTCTGCAAAGAAGAAAAGCAAGTGGCTTTTGGCGCGAAAGCCTTGGCGCCTCCCCTGATTTTTATGGAAATCAAGGGGGCGGGGTAAATCCGCTTCCCTCTGCCTTTCTCCCTCCCCCTTGTCTGCGCCGCAGCCCCCTTCTCTCTCCGCCCCCCGGGTGTGTCAGATTTTTCAGTTAATAATATCCCCCGAGCTTCAAAGCGTAGCCAGTGACAGTCATCTGTCTGGACGCGCTGGGTGGATGCGGGGGGCTCCTGGGAACTGTGTTGGAGACGAGCTAACGCTAGCCAGGCGCAAGCGCGCACAGACAGCCACCGAGGACACCCCCCACAGTCTACCCGGAGCCCCCCGCGCAGTATCGCCACTGGATCACCGGCAGTCGGCGGGAGGTAAGGAGCGGGGGTTGCAAACCGCCCGGCGCCCTGTGAGAGGCAAGCGCGGCGGGAAGGCAAGCCCTGGACCGGATTACGGCTAGCGCACAGGGCGCCCGAATATGCCTGGGGGACTGTTTCTGCTTCCGAAACAAAACGATCTCTGGGTTTTCCCTGAAAAGCCAGTTCCAGTCCAGAAGGTGCTCCGGCTAGAAGAGACCCACCCTAATCCTTTTACTGCCCTTGCCAGAAGGGTGTAATGGCTTCATCGGAAAAAAAAAAAATCTCTCTTCTCTATAAGATTGTATGTATTTGAGCTGACGGGGAGCCAGTACGTCCCCACCCTGAAGCTGAGGTTCTCCAAAGGGTGCCCCCGGAGGAAGAAGAGGGGCTTAGGCAGGGCGAGGCCGCCGCGGTAGTAATCTGGGTCACGGCTGTTTCAGCTCCGAGACGCGGCTCTCCCGGCGACTCTCCCCGCGCGCGGCTCCCCTGCGCGATTCTCGGGAACCCGGGTTCAGACCCCCCCCCCCAATTAGTGGACGTTGTTAGGGATTTGAAAGAGTGGGGGTGGGGTTAGTGAGGTTCCAAATAAGCTATTGGCAGGAATATCCTGGTAGCTGGTGGATGCCGAGGGGCTTCCGCTCAAATTTGGGGGGAGGTTCGTAGATTTGGGTGCCTGTTGTTGGTCTGTCTAGAGAAAAAAAGGCTTTTCCATTTGCAAAGTTTTCTAAATCCCCTACTACCGTTTGCACTCCCGAGGTTGCATCTGGAAGGTACTCCAAATTCTATGCCAGGTAGCTGGGTTGGAGAGCCCGTGGGCTTCCTTTGGGCAGCTGAGTCTGCACTGGTGCAACTGGGGTTGGCATGCTCGTCAGAGCTAGTATTCTGCAGCCCTTCCTTAACAGCCCCCTCCCCCAGTCACTGCCTTGTGTGAATGAAATGGCAGTTTCCAAAGTTGCAGAGCAACGCCACCACCCCCTACATCTGCATGCCCCCTCCCACCCCCTGTCGTAGACAGCTTGTACACAAAAGGAGGGAGGGAGAGAGCAAGAGACAGAACTTCCTCCACCTTCAGGAGCGCAGTGCGGAGTAGGGGGCTTGGAGGGCAGACTGAAGAACGGAGCAAGCTCTGCGGCCCAAGTTAAGGTTAGAGGGGGTGCACACAGCCTGTCCCCCATTCTGCTCAGCTTGCCAACCTTCTCCTGGTGTATCTGTCGGTTGCAGCGTCGGAGGTTGGTGCCGGCCCCCACCTTCCGCGCCCCCCACGGGAAGGAAGCACCCCCCGTATTAAAAAGAGCGCAGCGGAAAGAAGCCCTCATTCGCCGGCCAGGAGGCGAGCCAATGCCGAGCTGCACGGCGTCCACCATGCCTGGGATGATCTGCAAAAACCCGGACCTCGAGTTTGACTCGCTGCAGCCCTGCTTCTACCCGGACGAAGATGACTTCTACTTCGGCGGCCCCGACTCGACCCCCCCGGGAGAGGACATCTGGAAGAAGTTTGAGCTGCTGCCCACGCCCCCACTGTCGCCCAGCCGTGCCTTCCCGGAGCACAGCCCGGAGCCTCCGAACTGGGCTACGGAGATGCTGCTGCCCGAGGCCGACCTGTGGGGTAACCCGGCCGAGGAGGACGCGTTTGGCTTGGGGGGACTGGGCGGCCTCACCCCCAATCCGGTCATCCTCCAGGACTGCATGTGGAGCGGCTTCTCTGCCCGGGAGAAGCTGGAGCGCGCCGTGAGCGAGAAGCTGCAGCACGGCCGCGGGGCGCCCGCTGCCGGCACCGCAGCCCCGGCCCCGGGAGCAGGCGCAGCCAGCCCTCCCGGCCGCGGCCATAGCGCTTCTGGGGGTGCGGGCCGCGCTGGGGCCGCCCTGCCCACCGAGCTTGCCCACCCGGCCGCCGAGTGCGTGGATCCCGCCGTGGTCTTCCCCTTCCCAGTCAACAAGCGGGAGTCGGCGCCGGTGCCTGCCGCCCCTGCCAGTGCCCCGGCGGCGGGGACTGCAGTCCCCTCTGGGCCGAGTGCTGCAGCCCCGGCCAGTGCCCCAGCGGCTGCTCCTCCGCGCGCAGGAGGCCGCCCGGCCAGCAGCAGTGACCAGAAGGCTCTCAGCACCTCCGGAGAGGACACCCTCAGCGACTCAGGTAATGATTGTTCCCGGTGGCTGCCTCTCAGGAGTACTGATGCTAGGGGTCACGTTCCTTTTGTTAGTGTTGATGTTCTGAGTTTTGGGGAATATTTTCAAGGGAACACAGGTGGTGGAGAGGTCCTGTTTCCTCCAAACCGAGCCCCAGGGTAATGAGAGTGAATGAAAGCAGCTAAGCGGGTGTTCTCGGAAGTCTCACGTTCATTGAAGTTCCTTCCAGTCTCTTCGGGGGAGCCTTACTCTGGGCCATCGCTGGCCCTCACCTGCTCCCCGCCGCTCTTTTACAATGCAGTCCAAGGAATAACATTACGAAAAGTTTGTGGGCAAAGCTGGGAGGTAACTTAGGGGGGTGCTGGATGAATTGCCTGGGCAGAAACCTGTTAGGCAGAGGTGGAAAGAGATGCGCCGGCCAAAGCCAGGGCAGGGAAAAGACACCCCGAGAAGACCTAAGGACTGCAAAATCCTATTCAGGGCGCAGGAAGTTAGTGTGGAATTACACAGATGGCTAGTAACCTGTTTTATTTTTTTCCAACCTCGGTTCTGGTCTCTCCTTGCCTCAGTGGGCGGTGGGCTATTTGCTCCTGGTGCGTGGCCAGCAGGCGGCGATGTGGAGGGCCGAGTATCTGAAAAGCTGGGGGGGGGGACCCTCCCTCCGTTCAGCAGCTGGCGGCAAGCACAACAGCGGTTGTGTACACTCTCAAGAAGCCTCCTGTTTGCAGTGAACAGTGAAAACTGGGTCCAGTTTTGTCTTGCAGCCCTCTTTTGGCCCGCATCTCAGGACTAATTTGAGATCTGAGTAGTGTTCTGTAACCCAGTGCTCTTCAAAGAGGGGCTGCACTCAGAAGGCTCTCCAGGAATGCACACACCCCTGAAGAGACTCATTGATAGGAGTTTCATTGTGTGCACTTGCCTGTCTTAAACTGAAGGTCTGTCTTAAACCGAAGGGAGAGATTAAATCAAGATTCTGCCTTGGGCTCTGGAGGTACAGAATCCTGCCCTAACACTGGTCCTTGGAACAGGGAGCAGGGACCCTCTTGGACCTTAAAAACCAATGTTTTAAAAATCCAGAATATAGGTGGATAAAAAGCCTAAATTTCCTTCAGTGCGGATCTGTCTGAGGCTCCTGGAAGGAAAACTTAGTGATAAGCCTCCAGTTTGAAAAGGCTGTCTGTCCCTTTAATGTCTGAGCCTTGACAGCTTTCAGTGAGGAAGCACTTCCTTCCAACAGCTGTCTTCTTGGCAGAAAACCAAAACATTGGCTTAAAGGGACCCACAGACTGGAACAGCCTCACATTTCGGCTTTAGAACAAATCCAGCAATTGTTCAGCTTTCCGGTCTCCTTTAGATCAAGCAGAAGATGTGTTTTGATTTTCGTGCTTGCATTTTAAACAATAATTTTCTATCCCAGCTTGATAGTAAAGGAGGAGAGGAAAATGGCCCACATGATGGTACAAGTTTTCGTTGTTGCTGTTATTACTTTCAGAAGAGGTGTTCCCATTGTTTTGGTTTTATAGCTCCTGGGAATTACGGCTTTCCAGTAAAAATTTTAATCTTTGTTGTATGAAAAACTGTTGCTCCGTAGAATTCATGTTCATGGAAGGAAACTTATTTTTCATCCTTACTTAAATTGTTCTTAAGTTTTTTTTTAAGGACTTAAAGTTGAACTCAACCATGTGTAAATCTGCAAGTGTTCTAATTGAGAAGCTAGAAATGTTAAAAAGCCTACAAGGCAGACTGGTGATTTATTGAGCATCTACTCAGCCCAGCTCTATGCTAGTCTTTACGTGTTATGTCAGTCTCAAGAAAGCTGTAGTATTATCCCCATTTAATAGCAGAGGAAACCGAGGCTCAGAAAAGTTGAGGAACTTGCCTGGGATCATGCACCTAGCATGTGATGTAGCGAGGATTCTGTTTGACCCTAAAGCCCAGGTTCTTTATATTTCTGCCACCCGCTAAAATCTGAGTAGGGCCTGAAAGTGCAGTAGGGCTATGAGGAAGGAAAAAGTATTTCCAGAGAATCTGAAAATTGAGGAGAACTAAGATACGTTTCTGTCCACATTTATGTTGATAGCTCCATAATAATAGCAAACTATGTGCCAGGCCCTGCTATAAGAGATATATTAATTTAATTTGTGCCTCTGCTTGAGAATAACTCCCTCTTTTTCTCAAAAGATGATGAAGATGACGAAGAGGAAGATGAAGAGGAAGAAATTGACGTGGTCACTGTGGAAAAGCGGCGCTCTTCCTCCAATAGCAAGGCTGTCACCACCTTTACCATCACCGTGCGTCCCAAGAACGCAGCTCTGGGCCCAGGGAGGGCTCAATCAGGTGAACTGATCCTCAAACGCTGTGTCCCCATCCACCAGCAACACAACTATGCCGCCCCCTCGCCCTATGTGGAGAGTGAGGATGCGCCACCGCAGAAGAAGATTAAGAACGAGGTGTCCCCGCGTCCCCTCAAGAGCGTCGTTCCCCCAAAGGCTAAGAGCTTGAGCCCCCGCAACTCTGACTCGGAGGACAGTGAGCGCCGCCGCAACCACAATATCCTGGAGCGCCAGCGACGCAATGACCTGCGGTCCAGCTTCCTTACGCTCAGGGACCACGTGCCAGAGCTGGTGAAGAACGAGAAGGCCGCCAAGGTGGTCATTTTGAAAAAGGCCACGGAGTACGTCCACTCCCTTCAGGCAGAAGAGCACCAGCTTTTGCTGGAAAAGGAAAAATTGCAGGCAAGACAGCAGCAGTTGCTAAAGAAAATTGAACACGCTCGGACTTGCTAAACGTTTCTCAAAACTGGACAGTCACTGCCACTTTGCACATTTTGATTTTTTTTTTTTTAAACAAATATTGTGTTGACATTAAGAATGTTGGTTTACTTTCAAATCAGTCTCCTGTCGAGTTTGGATCTGGGTGGGGGAGCAGGACCTTAGGACTGGGCCTGCCTCGATGTGACGCTGGACGGCCCTCGCAGCGTTTCCTCCACCTCACCTCTGAGATGCAGTAGAAGTTCATGACAAGTTGAGAGCCTTTGGGGCTGTTGAAGTCACCTTGTTCCAAGTTTCCAAACAACAGAAAGGCATTCCTTCTTTTTAAAAATGGTGCTTAAGTTTCAGCAGATGTCACTTAAGGGGTTTGCCGTTTGATACCCCTGGGGAACATTTCTGTAAATACCATTGATACACTGCCTTGTGTACATGTCTTGGGTAATGAAAGGTGGTGGCTTTCGCGGCCAGTATTAGACTGGAAGTTCATACCTAAGTACTGTAATACCTCAATGTTTGAGGAGCATGTTTTGTATACAAATATATTGTTAATCTCTGTTATGTACTGTACTAATTCTTACACTGCCTGTATACTTTAGTATGATGCTGATACATAACTAAATTTGATACTTATATTTTCGTATGAAAATGAGTTGTGAAAGTTTTGAGTAGATATTACTTTATCACTTTTTGAACTAAGAAACTTTTGTAAAGAAATTTACTATATATATATGCCTTTTTCCTAGCCTGTTTCTTCCTGTTAATGTTATTTGTTCATGTTTGGTGCATAGAACTGGGTAAATGCAAAGTTCTGTGTTTATCTCTTCAAAATGTATATATTTAGTGCTGCATCTTATAGCACTTTGAAATACCTCATGTTTATGAAAATAAATAGCAATTAAATGATGCACTCAAATTTTTATTCGCTTAATAACACTAGTTAAAATTTACGCCGTTAGCAGCAGCCATAAATTGTGCATAACTTACAAAGTGAAATTGTATTTACATTTGAACAGTCATGTGTGGGGAAGGGAGGTCATTGTCCTCACTTAAGATGAGGAGGATGGGCTTGGGGATCTTAAGGCACTTCTCCAAAATTACACAGAACAGGCTTTTAGAGACTACTTTTGGGTTGTAACAATAGTACTTAACAGTTTATAAAGCTTTGATGTATGCTGACCACTTAATGGGATTATGCCAGGACATGAAATACCAAGACTTTAGAATGAGAAGTAAAATCAAGGAACAGCTGTACTTAGGGTTGCTGGAAGCCAGCTTTATCTTTTAGGGTAGAGGGTAGTTTCTCTCTAAAAATAATGAATTCTTGAAAATACGCTAGGACCTATGCAAGGTTCTATGCTAAGCATTGAGGTTGGTCCCTCTGGAGCTCACCAGCTGATTCACAAAAATGTAACTCATGGTATGAAGTGACAGCAGCCCAGGTCAAGTTCCATATCTTCTGGAGAGAGACTGGGGTGTTTGGCATATTGAAGCGTGTAGCTTTGTCCTCTTCCAGCTCCCGCCACACCAGTTGGTATTTTGGATACTTGAAGTTCTGTCTTGTGGAAGCAGGTTCAGGTCTGCAGGCCTGGAGGACAGGTCCAGGGCCAATGGATAGGAGGGAGGTAGAATTCAGCTCCTGGTTAGGAAGAAGTTTCTGACAGTTCCCTTGACACTAGGTAATACCCTTCCTTGTGAGGCACTCTACTTCTCAGGGTGAAGTATACAACCTATTTATGTTTTGGGTGAAAGGTTATACTAGGCTATTTGTCTAGGGTTTTGTTCATCTCTTAAATTTACAATCCTGAGCTAAAAAAGGCCTTTTGCTTTACAGAGAAGAAAACAGGTCCACAGAGGAGAACGGGTCTGTTTGCCCAGCTATGTAGTTTGTGAGGCCAGGGGCGGAGGTGGGAGAACCTAGACCTTGTTAACTCCCACGGTGGGGCCCTGTCTACTTAAAGCTATTCTGTTAAGGCAAGAGGGGCAGTTAGAACTTGAGGTCCTCATGGTGGTTTACAGCCCCTAGCCGCAGAGCTGTGAGGTCAGGTGATAATTGTCTTTCTGAAAGTCTGACCTGACTTTCCCCCTGAGACTAGAAAATAGCAAATAAGCTTTTTTAATGACAATGCCACCACCTTCACATTTTAAACGGCTTCCTGTCTGTGTGCAGCCTCTGCACCTAGTTCCTGTATTCATGAACCAGAGAAAGTTACCCACAGCCGTCTAGTCAAATCTGACTCATAGTGACCCTATAGGACAGAGTACAACCGCGCCATAGGGTTTCCAAGGCAGTAATCCTTACAGAAGCAGACTGCCATATCTTTTTAACTGAAGGGCTGGTGGGTTCGAACCTCCAAACTTTTGGTTAGCAGTTGAGCACTTAACTACTTTGCCACCAAAACCAAAAATCCCATTGCCATGTAGTCGATTCCGACTCAACAACCCTATAAGAAAGAGTAGAATCACTCCATAGGGTTTCCAAGGAGTGGCTGGAGGATTTGAACTGCCGCCCTTTTGGATCAGGGCCCCTTAAAAGAAAAGTGATCTCAAATTAATTGAGTACCTGAGATTCTCGAAGCCTAGCCCAATAATCCCAGTTTCTCTATTTGTAAGGTCTCCATGGAGCCCTGGTGGCACAGTGGTTAAGAGCTTGGCTTTTAACCCAAAGGTCAGCATGGAGGAGGAAAGTCTGAGACAAATGAGGTACCCTAAACTACAATCCATCCCTGTCATGCTCTATTTTTGCTTTGGCTGCTGGGAAGCTCAGAGCCAAATATCATGCTCTTGTTCTATATATTGGAGCCCTGCTGGCGCAGTGCTTAAGAGCTACGGCTATTAACCAAAAGGTCGGCAGTGCAAATCCACCAGCTGCTCCTGTTTATTCTATATATCTGGTGCTTTTCTCTCTCTCTTTTTTTTTTCCTCTAAATGTTGATCTTTTGTTAGTTTAACCACCTTTTTAATGTACTTTATTTTATATTACATGAAGCAACTTTTAGAATTAGGTAGATCATAAATACATACATACTTACGATATTAAAACTAAAGTGAAAAATCATATATTTGCCTTTCCTGACCCAAAGGAGGGAACGTGTCACCCAATTTAGTTTTGCAATTATTTATAAAGTAATTGCTGTAGTCACGGAGGAACTAAACCTGTAGTTTCAATAACCTGAGAAACCATCTATGCATTCCAAGAAGACTTTGAGACTGTATGGGAAACAGCTCTACATCAGTTAAATCAATAAATCATGAAGCTTAGATGGAGCATAGAGATCATCTCATTGAATTACTTCATTTCACAGAATGGGGGTGAGAGGGTCCCCATATCGCATTAGTGGCAGAACCAGGACTGGAGTCTGGGCCTCCTGATAATCAGGCCAGTGTTCTTTCCATGGCATCGGCTTTCTTACCTCTCACACAGTAGCCTCTGAGCCCATCTCCCTAGCTCCTGGCTTACCCTCACCCATCCACCCACACCGTGCTTCCCTGATGTTGTTAGCTGCCATCAAGTCAGCCCAGACTCATGACGATCCCCACTCATGGCGAATCCATGCAAAATGAAATGAAACGCTGCCCGGTCCTTCATCATCCCTATGACCAGTTGCAGATCTGATCGAGGTGATCCATAAGGCTTTGATTTGCTATTTTTTGGAAGTAGATCGCCAAGTCTTTCTTCCTAGTCTGTCTTAGAAGCTCCGTTAAAACCTGCTCAGCATCATAGCAACCCAAAGCTTCCACTGACAGATAGGTGGTGGCTGCATACGAAGTGTATTGGTCAGAAATTGAACCTGGGTCCCAGACATGGAAGGTGAGAATTTTACCACTGAACCACCACTGCCACCTTTCCGTATTAATCCTTCTAAATAAATGATCCTGCATAAACGCTTCCAATAGCTTCCTTCCGCTTACAGGATAAAGTCAGAGTGCTTCAGCTGGGCACATAGGCTGGTTCCACCCTGGCTCACCAGCTTGATTACCTGCTGCGCCTCCATAGGCACTCCTCTTTCCAGCCATGCCAGACACAAGTTCTTCTTTCCTACTTCTGACTTGTTTCACCACATTCCTTCCTCCTGGATTATCCGGTTTCTGTTTATTGAAATCCTTCTTGACCTTGAATGGCAAATCCAATGTGATCTTGTTCAGGAAGACTTCCTCATACTCCCAGGTAGATCTTGAGGTTTTTCAACTTGTGGTCTGTAAGCACTTATCCTTTGTCACCTCTGGAGATAGAAGAGTTTTCTTAATCACCCCCTTAGACCATAGCCTCCCCTAAGGGCAGGAACTGGGTCTCACCACTTCTGATTCTTTAGATGACAGGGCTTCTGCAGATGTCTGTAGAATGGATGAGCAGCAGAGTAGGCCGCTGAGGAGGAGAGAGGTGAGAACAGGTGGAGCAGCCTTCCATCAGGTGTGTGTCGCCTGCCAACCCAGGTTCACAGGCTCTCATGCTAATACAAATGGGAAGCACACTCATTAAGCATCAATGAATGACTAGGTACTGACAGTGCCCGAAGCTCTGGGGAAATGAAGAGAAAAGGCCTGTCTTCAGGAAATGCACAATAAGGAAGGGAGTTAAGGCCTTGAGGCTTGTGTAGAAAGCAAAGCGGGGCGATGGAAGCGCTGGGAAGGGCTGTATAGCCAAGGCCTGTGAGTGGTCCCATGGCTGAGTCTGTAGATTTCTGAGCCTCCAGGCGCCCAGTTTAGAGTGCTCTGCTGGAGGAAGCTGGTTTTCTGCCTTGGTTCACTGTGTCTACCACTGGCAAGAGAAGGCTTATCCGCGTGCCTAAGACCATAGGTCATCTGCACTCATAGTGACAATGGTTATAATCCCCCTGATCCCTGTGTAGCATTTTAGAGCTTACCGAGGTGTTTTTTTTTTTTTTTTAATGTTTGAGTCTCACAACTCTTGGAGTGTTGAGCAGCACATCATATTCCCATTTTATATATAAGGGAATTAGGTTTCCTGGGCTTAAGTTTCAATTAATCTCTATAATAGCTATCTTTTGAAAATCCTAATATGGTTTTTTTTTTTTAAGAATCAGAGAATGTTAGATCTGAAAGAGGTTTAGAAACCATCTAGCTCGACCTCCCGTTTCAGAGATTGGAAACCAGAAAGCAAAAGGAACAGCGTAGAGTCTGCTTTCCAGTGTTCGTTTTTCCTCATGTTCTCGCTGTCTCTCTTTCTATCTTCCTTCCTTCCTGCCCGTCTGCCTGCCTTTCTTTCTTTCAACAAATATCTATTGAGTACCTACTATGCGTCAGGCACGGTTCCAGGTGCTTGGGAGACATCGGTGAACAAAAGAGACAAAAATCCCCCCAATCCCTGCTTTAATGAAGTTTATAGTCTAGGAGAGAGTGCCAGTAAAAATAAATATAACAAGCAAATAAATAACATTCAGTAAAGTGGTGAATGTTACGAAAGGTAAGTAGAAAAGGGTGAAGGAATTCAGGGATGTCACAGGAAGAGAGGGGGGTTGTCATTTTCAGTGGGATGGTCAGGGAAAGTGCATAGGGTGAGGTGGGAGGAATGGTGATAGGGAGGGAATGGTAGTGGTGGTGGGGGAATGGTGGTGGTTATGTGGGTTGAGGGGTGGAGCCACCTGGGAGGGTACCCAACACGGCTGTGGCTGCTCAGAGACCAGAACTCAGGTCTGGGCTTCTTGGTTCAGGATTCATCCTCCTTCACGTCTCTCTGGACATCGGTAAATGTCTCCCCACCAACATTTTATTCATTGTCTCAAGAAGAAACAACAGAGCGTAGTAGTTAAGAGTATGAATCTGAAGTTAGACTCTCTGGGTTTGAATCCACCTCCCACCCTTACAAGATCTGGGATCCTCAGTTTCTCTACCGGTACAATAGATGACACCACCGACATCACAGGGTTGTTATGAGGATTACATAA